AGAACACAGGGACATGGCTGAATACTGTCAGTCATTAATGACTAGAACACAGGGACATGTCTGAATACTGTCAGTCATTAATGACTAGAACACAGGGACACTGCTGAATACTGTCAGTCATTAATGACTAGAACACAGGGACACTGCTGAATACTGTCAGGCATTAATAACTAGAACACAGGGACACTGCTGAATACTGTCAGTCATTAATATCTAGAACGCAGGGACACTGCTGAATACTGTCAGTCATTAATGACTAGAACACAGGGACATGGCTGAATACTGTCAGTCATTAATAACTAGAACACAGGGACATGTTTGAATACTGTCAGTCATTAATGACTAGAACACAGGGACACTGCTGAATACTGTCAGTCATTAATAACTAGAACACAGGGACACTGCTGAACACTGTCAGTCATTAATAACTAGAACACAGGGACACTGCTGAATACTGTCAGTCATTAATAACTAGAACACAGGGACACTGCTGAATACTGCCAGTCATTAATGACTGGAACACAGGGACACTGCTGAATACTGTCAGTCATTAATGACTAGAACACAGGGACATGTCTGAATACTGTCAGTCATTAATATCTAGAACGCAGGGACACTGCTGAATACTGTCAGTCATTAATGACTAGAACACAGGGACATGGCTGAATACTGTCAGTCATTAATGACTAGAACACAGGGACATGGCTGAATACTGTCAGTCATTAATGACTAGAACACAGGGACATGGCTGAATACTGTCAGTCATTAATGACTAGAACACAGGGACACTGCTGAATACTGTCAGTCATTAATAACTAGAACACAGGGACATGGCTGAATACTGTCAGTCATTAATAACTAGAACACAGGGACATGGCTGAATACTGTCAGTCATTAATGACTAGAACACAGGGACATGGCTGAATACTGTCAGTCATTAATGACTAGAACACAGGGACACTGCTGAATACTGTCAGTCATTAATAACTAGAACACAGGGACACGGCTGAATACTGTCAGTCATTAATGACTAGAACACAGGGACACGGCTGAATACTGTCAGTCATTAATGACTAGAACACATGGACACTGCTGAATACTGTCAGTCATTAATGACTAGAACACAGGGACACTGCTGAATACTGTCAGTCATTAATAACTAGAACACAGGGACACTGCTCAATACTGTCAGTCATTAATGACTAGAACACAGGGACACGGCTGAATACTGTCAGTCATTAATGACTAGAACACAGGGACACTGCTGAATACTGTCAGTTATTAATGACTAGAACACAGGGACACTGCTGAATACTGTCAATCATTAATAACTAGAACACAGGGACACTGCTGAATACTGTCAGTCATTAATAACTAGAACACAGGGACACTGCTGAATACTGTCAGTCATTAATAACTAGAACACAGGGACACTGTGACACTGTACTGTCAGATTCAAGAACTATCAGGTGACAAAATGTATTGTAACAAATCCAAAAAACAATATCAACAAACATTTGGAAATAACTTTCTAATTGTATATTTCTTTCTACCCAGCTAAATGCAAGGATATTTCACACAAACTTGTAAACCGAAATCTTGCCTAAACAAACAAATACTACTCCCTGGAAGCTGTCACCTGAACAAAACCGTCCTACAAACTGACAAATTGATTGATGCAAATGAAGTGTAATGTCCCGCTACTTCCATCAATACCTGTCATCTGTGTATCCTACTCCAGCAGCCTGTAGTGTCATCTGCTGAACCAACACACTGTCAATATTATGCAAATAAATGTGCTGTTTTTGAATTTAAAACATAAAATTCAATAAGATGTTTAATGTTATACTGACTAACATCTAGCTTACTGTCTGTGCTGACATATTTTTTTCTCTTCTGAGGTCCGAGAAAAGACCCATAATCTGGGATTAGATGCAGCATTGAGATCCGCCACCAAACCAAAGTCACTGCCAGAGGACAATTTGCAACTACTAGGCTTAAAGACATGATAAAATACCAACCATCCCTCCATTCACCCACCATCCCTCCATTCACCAACCATCCCTCCATTCACCAACTATCCATCCCTCCATTCACCAACCATCCCTCCATTCACCAACCATCCCTCCATTCACCCACCATCCCTCCATTCACCAACTATCCCTCCATTCACCAACCATCCATCCCTCCATTCACCAACCATCCCTCCATTCACCAACCATCCCTCCATTCACCAACCATCCCTCCATTCACCCACCATCCCTCCATTCACCAACCATCCCTCCATTCACCCACCATCCCTCCATTCACCAACCAACCATCCCTCCACTCACCAACCAACCATCCCTCCACTCACCAACCAACCATCCCTCCACTCACCAACTAACCATCCTTCCACTCACCAACCAACCATCCCTCCACTCACCAACCAACCATCCGTCAACTCACCAACCAACCATCCCTCCATTCACCAACCAACCATCCCTCCACTCACCAACCAACCATCCGTCCACTCACCAACCAACCATCCCTCCACTCACCAACCAACCATTCCTCCTATCAAACCAGTACGCCAACAAGAGATGACCCCACATTCACCCTTGTGTCCAACAACTGTCCATACAATACAATATGTTGCCAGGCGACTGGATCAATCAGCATGAGCATAGGATTACAGTAAGTACGTCCACCTACTGAAGACTTAGGTCAATGACCTGTGTAAGTTCTGAATGAGTATCCCAGGTACAGAAGCTCACCTGCATACATGTACTTATCACTTCCGGGAAATTGTCTTACCCTTGCTCAAACCAGGGTGCCAAACTTTTATCTATTATTTGGAACATGGCCAAGCAAAATATGTTAAGAGATTACATCTTGGCCATGACTTGTTATATCTATATATACCTATCATATAACACACAACAGAGGATGACAAAGTATATTGTATTTCAATTCTTTAATTTCCTGTATTATGGTATGACTAAGAAATGTAGTTTGCTCTACCCCCATGTGTAGTGTAATAAAGTATAGTTCTTCCCTATTAAATATTAATACACTATTAAATACCACTAAACAAAGTCTATTACTACAGTAAATAAGTCATGCCATGTCATGGCACACATTTCTAGCATGCTGAATTCAACACTAACATTATGTGATATGGGAAAATAAAAAGAAAGTCTTCAATAAATGTAAATTGAAATTATCAAACAGAGCTCAGTGACGAGCTGTTCCACTGTATGCACTCTTATGGTTGGAGGCAGCACACACACAAAACAACATCCCTCCTAGTTCAGGGTTAAACAAGCATGAAATACTCATATCCCCCACCAATATGACATGTCCGGCTGTGTGCAAGTCATTTGCCCTCTGGAAACCAGTACTACCACCATTTTCAGTCCAAGTCAAAGTCGTTGCCATGGAAACTTGAAAAAAATATTTTTTTAAATTCCAAACTATCAAAAGGCACCATTTCACCACTAGACCTATCTATGTGCCAAGTTTGGTTAAGATACCACTTCGTCATAGTGTGTTATAGAAACGCTTGGAATATTCTTTGATGTGAGGGCACTGTGTAGAAATTTCACGTAGCTAGGTAGGTTGTACACAAGGAGACAAGAGCATGCCTCTTGCATCTCTCTCACATCAAAACCAGCTTTCAGGTGTGGATCACTCATCACCTCTGAATCACTGCCTTGGCCAGTCTCTGAAGCTTTTCCACTGTTGCCGCTGGGTGAACATATATCATTATCACCAACTTTTGCTATCATCACTGTATTTTTGCATCGGATACTGACCACTGCTATCATATTATATATTGCCATTGAATATTGTACCACCTCTCTATTGTGTACTGCCATTTTAATTGCTGTGCAGTAATTTGAGTTGATTTGTGAACTTAGTTAATTTTGTAATACATTTGTTGATTGTATACCACTTGTTGGTTGTTTGTTGGTTTCACTCTAAGTTCTTTTACATACAGATTTCTGGGTTAACATATTGTTTCAAGTTGGGAATTGACGCATAACAACAGTCGGTTATGAAACTCTTCAAGGAGTCTCATTCCTGTGTCCAGGGTACCAACACCAACCTCCACACCTCTGTGGCAGCCGTGGCACGGACACAGTGGTTTGTACATGTTGGGAAAACCCCGCGTCATGGGAGATTCCGGTTGACATCTTCTTGCCATATTTTCTTCCCTGGGAATGATATTCAATTATCCGACAAGTTTCTCAGTTAAAGAAACTATTTCAATGATTGAAGTGGAAACTGAAGTGGACGGCCATCATGGCTGCCAGGACTGTGATGTTTGATCACAGGGGAAGTGAACAGCGTCAAACCCATTACGACATAACTCAAAAATGTACTTTAGCTAGGATAAAGCTGCACCTTGATCTTTTAGCGAAACGTCTTAGAATTGCTATTAGTAGACTAGACATGTTATTACTATTACTTCAGATATAAGTGATGAGTGGGAGTTGTTTTATTGTAAGATAAACAACGACCACAAGCCGCTTATTCTTATATGAAATATCAAAATTATGTACATTTTCTATAAGGAAGTTGATAAAATGTACACGCTTTGAAAATATTTACCCAAATTTAAATAATGATGACTCACTGAAAAGAATCTGACCTCAGAAATGTCGTCCCAGTCCATCTTATGAAAGGTGGCTTAAATTCAGTATTTCCTGCATATTCTCACAATCCTCACGTTGATTATCTGTACCCCTTTGGGATACAATTGTTCGACCACTGCCTTTATCTGCATAGCTCAGCCACACCCATTGGGAACAACTTACTGGACGCTTCCTTCTCAAAAATAATGTCATCCAAAATATGACATCATCATTTTGCAAGTGCATATTAAAATTTCCAGAAATGACGTCATGATAGAAAAATCTTTGTCCTTCATTGTTCTTTGAGATTTATCCTGCAGCTATGTTATATATATTCATAAACTCGGCCCAAATTAAAGGCAGTAACTCAAAAGCACCTACCTCCATTTCGGCCATGCGCAGCCACTGCTTGGGGTTATCCTCGGCGGCAAGGAAGGCGATGAGGTCGAGGGCAGTGAGCCGCGTCTGTCGCCGGGACGACACAAACACCAATACTGGCTTCTCTGGGGAATGGGTCTTCACAGCTGGAAGGAAATCAGAATGGATATGAAAAAAATCCATCCTCATGCACTGTCCTTCGTTCCCTTCCAAATCGATCATTTCATTGCACTAACTATTATCATCATCAAGATGCCTGTCAATATTATCCCCAATGTAATTTTGTTCATCATCATCACCATCTTGGACATCATCCATCACACCACTATTTTCACAATCATCATCATCATCATCATCATCATCATCATCATCATCATCATCATCATCACATTGTCATGCAGCAGTATCGATCACCCCAATTATGCACCATTTAGCATCAACATCTCCCTGTCCATTCTCCATGGCGCTCTGTACAAGACAAGTTCCCCTCACCCTGGAATGTGGGTTTGTTCATGGTTGCCATGCGGGGACAGTAGTGTTGCCCTGGGAAACCATTGATGTGAACCTCCAGCGGGACGGGGCGGACAGATGGACGGAAGTTGAACAGACCCATCTGAAACATATCATTTGTCATTTTTAGTACTCAAGGCCAGAGGTTTCTTAGGTAAAGGAATAAAGAATTGAGTTTAATACATTTTCTGAACACTCCAGCAAAACATAATTTCCCAAGAGTGTGTGTGTTTGTTGTTTAATACCACACTCAGCACTATTCCAGCTATATGAGGCGGCCAGTAAATAATCTGGAGCAGAAAATCAAGTGATTCATATTGTGAGCAACAGTCCCCACTGTCGGGGTACGACCCATGAACCCAGTCACCACCAGCTCCATGAAGTCGCCTGTTATGACCAGAATAGGTTGCAAGAGACCAATGCCAGCCGGAATCCCTAATTTCCCAAGAGAAACTTAATACACCTCTACATATATATATACAGTATATAGAATTATTTTTTTTCCATTCACCTCCCTGCATATTTATATTTTGGCAAAGAAAATCTGAAGCTGACCCAATAGTTGAAAACGTCATGTCTGCTGATGTCCTACCTGTCTAATAGCTAACCAGTCAGCGAGGTCACGAGCGTTGGCCAGAGCCGTGGAGAGCCCAACGACCCTGACCTTGGTCATGGTGGTGCTGGAGATGAAGTTTGTTCGGGAAACAATGACCTCCAGAACAGGACCTCGATCATCACCTGCAGTCAAATGTTTGCAAGACATAACAATCTGGAGATAGTGACAGTATATTCTCATTCATTCATTTGTTCGTTCGTTCCTTCCTTCGCTCGTTCATGAGTGAGTGAGCCAATAGATCATTATAAACATGATAACTAATATTGCATCTATATAGTACAAGAGGATCCTATAACTTCAGGACATCAGTCTCATAATCATGATTGAGAATGTTTTGATGTCAGCAATAGGGAACGGCTTCACACATTGTGTCTCTGTGGGAAATTAAACCCTGCAGTTCCAAAACTTCCCCTAAGTTCGGAGAATGGTGAAGTATTCATCAACTTGAAACGACTGTTATGTGAATTGTGATGTTGCTTTCAGCTAACCATGGACTTTGAAACTCAGGCAGACAGAGAACAATGTGACAGGGACTCACCCAGCAGGTGGATTTCGTCTATGACCAGCAGGGCAACAGACTTGACGTAGCTACGAGTCTGCCATGACCGACTGACACCATCCCACTTCTCAGGAGTTGTCACTATCAGGTCAGCATTGGCAACAGCTCGCATGTCAGGGGTGACGTCCCCTGTCAGTTCCACCACTCTAGAAGATCCAAATACAGACATGTAGACTGTGCAGTGCTCACGTAAAGAGTCCTGTCTAAAGTGTTAGAATCATCAGTTACTGAGATTGTTGTGTACATGGTTCAATAGTTGGGACAAATCCTCCATAGAACACATTGATGCAGCGAGACAAAATTGTTGTCCAAATACAGACACACAGACAAACACAGACAAACAGAGACACAGACTGACACAGAGAGACACACAGACAAACAGAGACACAGACTGACACAGAGAGACACACACAGACACAGACTGACACGAGAGACACACAGAGACACAGACTGATACAGAGAGACACACAGAGTCACTCACAGACAGATACACAGACAGACAGATAGATACACAGACAGACAGACAGATACACAGTCAGGCAGACAGACAGACAGACAGACAGACAGATACACAGACAGACAGACAGACAGATACACAGACGGATGGACAGACAGACACGGCACGTGTTTGTCTCTGACTTACTTCTTCCCCAGCTTCTGTTCTATCCGGACCTTCCAGTCCTCCATCCTCTCCCGGACCAACGCCTTCAGCGGCGCGATGTACACCGCCTGACAATATATAAATATATATCTTCCAGTCAGTTTTAAAACAATAAACACACAGCTCTGTTGAGACACATAGGAGTGACACATGTAAGACCACCTCAATCAGACCAAGGCCACAATGGTGCATTCTTCAACCCTTCATCCTCCAACCAAACTGTAGCAAATTGGCTGAAAACTTGAGCATTTCCTCTACCATAAAGTCGGCTTTATGTCAGCCAGATGCAAGTGATGAGCGGTTCTGCTGAGTGGTCTGTGTAGAACTTGTTGTAGAGAATATATCCCACAAGTAGACAAACCATGTCTTACCAAGAACAAATGTCCGTCATCTGGCTGCTGGACCCCGCTGATGAAGATGTAGACAAGCAGGTAATGTTTACCATAATCTTTGATTATGAAAGTATCATTAGCTTGGAACTTAATATCTCTGTTTAGGGAGATTGTTAAAAATCTCCATTGCACATATACCCACCTTGTGTTTGGGGTACTGGTTGAATATCCTAAATATTGCCATCTCGGCGGCGACCGTCTTGCCGGACCCGGTGGGCGCACCAAGCAGCACATTGCAGTCACTGTGGTACAGGGTGTGGAAGATCTGGGTCTGAATGGGGTTGAAGTGGGTGAAGCGATACAGCGCCTCGTACTGAGGGTTCTTCAGGGCAGATATTGGCAATGGCTGAAGGTCAAGAAGCTCTGGAAAAAAACACAGACCGGGTACATAATAGAAAAGGTACATAAAATATATTTCCACTACTAGCTACACAAGCTGGTGACAGTCAATGAGTACAATCAGAGATGTCTATTGGTGTGTGGGGAGTGTTGTCAGTGACGTCTGCTACCTCTGTGTGTGGGGAGTACAATCAGGGACGTCTGCTACCTGTGTGTGGGGGGAGTACTGTCAGTGACGTCTGCTATCTGTGTGTGTGGGGAGTACTATCAGTGACATCTGCTACCTGTGTGTGTGGGGAGTACTGTCAGTGACATCTGCTATCTGTGTGTGGGGAGTACTGTCAGTGACGTCTGCTACCTGTGTGTGTGGGGAGTACTATCAGTGACGTCTGCTACCTGTGTGTGTGTGGGGAGTACTGTCAGTGACATCTGCTACCTGTGTGTGTGGGGAGTACAATCAGTGACGTCTGCTACCTGTGTGTGTGGGGAGTACTATCAGTGATGTCTGCTACCTGTGTGTGTGGGGAGTACTGTCAGTGACGTCTGCTATCTGTGTGTGTGGGGAGTACTATCAGTGACGTCTGCTATCTGTGTGTGTGGGGAGTACTATCAGTGACGTCTGCTATCTGTGTGTGTCGGGAGTACTATCAGTGACGTCTGCTATCTGTGTGTGTGGGGAGTACTATCAGTGACGTCTGCTATCTGTGTGTGCGGGAGTACTATCAGTGACGTCTGCTACCTGTGTGTGTGGGAGTACTTTCAGTGACATCTGCTAACTGTGGGTGTGGGGAGTACTGTCAGTGACGTCTGCTACCTGTGTGTGTGGGAGTACTTTCAGTGACATCTGCTAACTGTGGTTGTGGGGAGTACTGTCAGTGACATCTGCTAACCGTGGGTGTGGGGAGTACTATCAGTGAAGTCTGCTACCTGTGTGAGGGGGATGTCTCTCCGGCAGGATGAGATGTTGGAAGGAGATTGGAAAGACGGCCTCCGACCCCAGCCACCGGTCCGACACAGCCTTCACATAGTACTGGGTGGGCAGCGGCTCGAAGATGGGGATGGTGAACACCAAGCTCTGGGGCTCGTCCTTCACCACCTGGAGGTACATATACATCGGGTGACATGTTAGTCAACTGTTCACTTTGGGGAACTATTACACTAGACACTAAGACACTAGATAACTGCACTTTTACTTGATTAGACTTTGTAAAAAACAATGATTGTCACACATTGACTGCAGCCCCCATCCCGCTTCTAATGTCATCTTTACTCATATTTCCTCTATAACACAGCTTTATACCTATTAAACAAGGAGAGCTGTGAGAGACTAATGAACCCACAATGCAACACACCACCTACATGTTTCTTGTGGAGCAGGAAATAGTCTGAGTGGTAGATGTGGTTGTTGTCTGGGTCCTCCACCCACACCCAGAACGGCTCCGTCGCACTGCCGTGAACCTGTTGTCATAGCAACACAGCATCATGACGATGTCAATAGTCATGGTAATAAAAGTCAAAGTTACACAATACCAGGGATTTATAAGATCTAAAGCTTATGCAAGGTTCAATTAAGATTTGAATGAAATAACTGTGGACAGCTGTGTACTTCCTGCCTTGTTTGTTTGTCGTTTATTGCTGCACTTGGCAATATTCAGGATATATGATGGCAGCCTTTAAATAATCAAGTCTGGACTAGACAATCCAGTGATTGATATTATGAGCAACAATCCATGCTGTGGTACACTGACACGCCTTCAACCATTCACTGAAATGGTAAACTTCAAGGACGAAGATGTGTGTGCAGATTTGTAGGGACAGTTTGGCCAAACGCAGATTTCTGAAAGTGGCAGGGCCAGGATACAGCTGTATTCTCAGTTGGTTTGTCTCTCACCTTATCATCCCAGCTGAAGTCCGCAGTGATGGTGAGCCTCACTCGGAGAACAGTGCGTGTGATGGGCTGGATGCTGGCGTCCAGGATGAGTGCGGGAATCTGGTTGACGCACCTCTTGATGATGACGCCCATCCTGATGTGGTGGACGATGTGACCTACATAACGAAAACACCTCTGACCTTCACAAAGACATTTATAGAGTGATACAGCTCATCACCTGCTTCAGCAAAGTTCAACAGTCTCGATTATCCTCAAATAGCTTAGTGACAGACCATAGGCAGATCCAGAGGGGGGGGGGGGGGTCCAAGGTGTCCAACCCTCTCCCCCTTTTGAAAACCAAATGGATGGTTTAGGTAGTAAAATTGACTGAGTGGGGACTTTGATATTTTGGACCCCTCCCTTTTCAAAATGCTGGATCCGCCCTTACAGACCTACCGATCTCCTTGGCGTCCATGTCTTTCAGTCGGTCTATGTAGAGGTTCCTGGCCTCGATCTTGTTGAGGATCTCCTGCGAGAGGATGGGGAACTGTCGCAGTGGGTGTTCGTGAGCCCACAACCTCTTGTCCACCACCTTGCTCAGCGACAACAGCCGACTTGCCATTATTGGCCAACCCTTCTTTAGCGCCATCTCAAACAGGGCGCGCATGATCCTGGAGGCGTTCTGTGGAGAATCACAGTCTTCATTTGTTCAGACTAAGGCCGATACAATATATTTTTAGACAGCATTTACGGAGGACTTGAATGTTCAGCACATTTAGAAGGCTTTTTAGCAATATTTGGAAGCTCTTGTACTCTGACATAATTTCATGAGCTTAATAAGATTTGGTTTACTAAAACGATACATTTCTACATAATTCATTCTTGGCTCTTTAATACATTAACATGAGAATAATTCATGAAAATCATCACCAAAACAAAAGATCTAGGAATAATTTCAAAGTAACCTATCACTATTACTGCAAGTGTGTATTGTATGATGACCTGATGCTTGACGACTTACCTGACAACCCACCTGATACTTGACGACCTACCTGACAACCCACCTGATACTTGACGACCTACCTGACAACCCACCTGATACTTGACGACCTACCTGACAACCCACCTGATACTTGACGACCTACCTGACGACCTACCTGAGGCTTGACGACCTACCTGACATCCCACCTGACACCTGATGCCTGATAACCCTGCTGACGACCCACCTGATGCCTGATAACCTACCTGAGCTACGTAGGACATGTCGGAGATGAGGGAGAAGGACTCGAGTCCATGCCGCGAGACGTACGCCTGAAGCAAGATGTTCACTTTCCCGTTTGGGTTTTCCTTTCCCCCTGCCACGGGCAACTCGCACGCATCGAACATCAGGTTGTCCAGCTCATCCATCTCGTCCTCACGGACCTGCCACACAAACAGTTCATTAATGACACAAACGGGTCAATCGGGGACACAAACAGTCCATCAATGACACAAACAACCCATCAATGACACAAACAGCCCATCAATGACACAATCAGCCCATCAATGACACAATCTGCCTATCAATGACACAAACAGCCTATAAATGACACAAACTGCCCATCAATGACACAAACAGCCTATCAATGACACAAACAGCCTATCAATGACACAATCAGCCCATCAATGACACAAACAGCCCATCAATGACACAAACAGCTCATCAATGATACAAACAGCCCATCAATGACACAAACAGTCCATCAATGACACAAACAGCCCATCAATGACACAAACAGTCCATCAATGACACAAACAGCCCATCAATGACACAAACAGTCCATCACTGACACAAACAGCCCATCAATGACACAAACAGCCAATCAATGACACAAACAGCCCATCAATGACACAAACAGCTCATCAATGATACAAACAGCCTATCAATGACACAAACAGCCCATCAATGACACAAACAGCCCATCAATGACACAAACAGTCCATCGATGACACAAACAGCCCATCAATGACACAAACAGCCCATCAATGACACAAACAGCTCATCAATGATACAAACAGCCTATCAATGACACAAACAGCCCATCAATGACACAAACAGCCCATCAATGACACAAACAGTCCATCGATGACACAAACAGCCCATCAATGACACAAACAGCCCATCAATGACACAAACAGCCCATCAATGACACAAACAGCCCATCAATGACACAATCAGCCCATCAATGACACAATCAGCCCATCAATGACACAATCAGCCCATCAATGACACAAACAGCCCATCAATGACACAATCAGCCCATCAATGACACAATCAGCCCATCAATGACACAATCAGCCCATCAATGACACAAACAGCCCATCAATTACACAATCAGCCCATCAATGACACAAACAGCCAATCAATGACAGTAAGCCAGCGTTGGTTTTCATATTTTTCTAAGTACTAACACAAGGTATGTTTTTGTGATGGTTCAAATAAGAACATGAAGAAAAAAATGACATGATTTCTGAAGTGAACTCAAATCTCAGAAAAATTTAAAATAAATTAAAGGAGTTAAATTACATGCCAAATGTTACTTCCCTTACTGTATAGATCATGTGACCTAGGTTCCATCACGGACTAGTTAGACCGGAAGGAAGGAAGGCAGCATTCAGTGGTGCAGGTTCATTCATATTGGAGAATTTTGGTTTTGTCAATAAGTAAACCAAATAAATAATAACAAAACTTTGAAAAGGTGAAATATTTAAGTGATTAACACTTTTTGTTATTTGAAAAAGGAAATACCAAGTTGTGTGTTTAAGAATGGACATGACAATAAACTTCACTGTTAAATATTATCAGAGTACATTTGAAACTTGCACCAGAAAAGACCTTATTGAGTACTGACCTTGATTTGTTGGAACTCCTGCGACTTGGCCAAGACGTTAAACACATCCGGTTCCGCCATATGGGGCTTGAAGAACTCGTTGATTGTCTGAAAACAGAATACGATGTGACAGTGAGGAGAAACAGCTCCATGAGACAATGACGAATGGTTTTTCTTGTGTCGCAGTCTACAATATTAGGCTCCATGATGGTGATCTGACAACACAGTCTGGGCCAGGCAAACCATTAGGCTTGGTTCTCAGGCACCGCCTGCATCATAATAAAGTTCGCCTCACATTTCGTTTCTATTTCCATTTAATTTTGTTTTTTAAATCCTTCAATATTCCAGGTCCAACGATAGTCAAATACTGTATTCCAGTATTTTAGTTACAAGTAATACATTTGTGTAGGTAGGCCCTTTCCCATGTTGATTGTACACAATTGTTTACTAAGTTACACAACTGTTTATTTGGTAACACACTAGTTGGAACAACACCCCAAAAACGACACCGACTGCCCGCACTATAGTTTCAAAAACTGTCAGGGTATATCTCACCTCCATGGTGTCGTACTTGATGTAGAAGTGGCTGGCAATGCGGCCAAAGTCTGTGGAGGAGAAGTAGGAGGTCCTCTCGTCGAATCTGACCATCATGGCTTTGTCCAACTTGCGTCCAGCTTCCGTGATGAGGTCACACCGGTGGACCTCCAAGCTCGGATCGTCCTGGAGAAGACAAACACATTACTGACATAGTAATCCCGTATTGCAAACATCACGTGTGGCCCACCTGGAGGACAGGAACCTCATGGGTCCAAGGATACAACTGTGCTATGACGTCATTTAGATGTTTGACGTCAACTTACTTCAGTGAAGATCGATATGTGTGATGTCATGTATCTCTGTGATAAATATGAATTGAAGCTTGTGAATTGTATTTTTGTCATTTATGAAACGCTGTAGTTTGAAAACATAATGACAAGTCAAAGGTCCCATACCTCATGGTTGGTCACATATATTACTAGGAATACAATTTTCATTATGTGAGCCTCATGATATTAAAATACACAATCGTAATGATCCTGTATCATCTTCTGACAAAAATAACAGTTTGAGATGTTTTTTCACTCCCTGAAGTAACCTTAGAAACTACGTATGAATACAATTTTAAAAAGATTGTAAAGGTCAAAGTCACATTCATTTTTCTTCACTATAGAGAACTGTCCCACTTATTTCATCGTGCCAAATGTTTTACAGAAATGTTTGTACAGGGAAACTCCTACAGGAAACCCTTAAATTTTGTCAGTCACTGAATTAGAACTCAAGATTGTCTCTACTGAACTGTTGAGGTTGTATCGTCATTGTTGTCCCCAGGGTGCATGGAGTTTACAGCTTGTGCCACAGTTGAATACATCACTCTTCAGAAGTCTATTGGGGCATCCTACTGAACTTAATCATGCAGTGAAGCTGAGCATTGCAGAGTTGTCCCCCTTTACAAGTGACCATGCTTTGGTCAACAGGTGGCATTATCAGACTGCCTCCTGCACATGCGGCACAACATCGACATGAAGAATATAGTGTAACAAAACCAAACACATCTAGACAAAAAAACAAAGAGGCACTGTAGCTCTCCCGGTATTTTCTTATGTTTGTAACCATGGTACCATTAGATGTCAAAACGAAGAATGAAACATTTTTTTTTAACAATTAACAATTAAAATGTAGAGAATAGGTCTGGGATGGGTTACTCGGGTACTTGGGTCGGGTGGGTCCCACAGGAACCCGGAACTGTGGTTAGTCACGTGATATATTGTTTCATGACAAAGACTCACTACAGCTCAGTTGTTACAATACAAGTCACTAATGTTTGCATTTCTCTCTGACGATGCACACATTCCTTTTGACTTGCATAAGTTTGAGTAAAGATAAAGCTTCAGTCAACTTCAGTGTATGCATGATCGGATCCTTTTGTTCCCAACTCTTTGAGACCTGCAGTGGGTACCCTGGTAGGGTCAGGTAATAGGGGGTCGGGTTCCTGGGTAGTAAATGTGGACTCGTCCCAACCCCAGAAGATAAGTATTTACACAACCCACCAATTCACAGTGAATCAAACCAGACACTGATACATCAGTGAAAGGTGGCTCACTGGGTAGCCTTTTTGAATGCCTGCCATGCCTGCCTGACTTTAATTGGAAAAGACTTCTGTCAGCAGATGTCATGACATTATTTCTGGTTCCCCACACAGACTCCCAGCCTTGTCTAACCTGGAATGGTGGAATCCCAATTAAGATGTCATGTTGAAAGCGTAGTCCAAATAACATTACCAACACATCTTCAAAATGGCCGCCATGGCATCCATGTTGAAAAAATGAGAACTGTAAGAGTCAGTGACACAGCCTTTATGGTCCAAGATGTTTTGTTCAGGTGAGCTAACAAATCAACTCAGGAAAATAAAAGAAACAGGCTTACAGAAACCCTGCAACCATGGTTGCATATGTCTGAAAGTGAGTGAGCCGTAGTGTTGGCAGTCTAAACTCAGCACTAAACCAGCAAGTACCTGGACGACGCCGTACGGGATGCCGTAAGCCAGGGGGTTGATCCTCATCCGGACGTACAGGTACGTGTAGCTCAGCCATTTGACTGCCTCCTCCATGTTGGTCACCGTGCCCAGCGCAACCTGAAATAAAGTCAGAGAAATGTCAGCAAGGGACATTCCCATTTTTAGCATTAATTTCATGATTTATAGTATGTCCACTCACTGAACAGAAGTGAAAGGGTGAATGTTGTTTTTTGACCGTAAGAAATTAACCAACTGTCTCACAGCAGCTTGTAGATATTTCAGGGGAAGGCGAACCAGTGATTGAGGGTATGAATCTCCAGAATCTACATGAGACAATGGATCGGAGGTAAATGAAGGATTGGAGAAAACACGCTTACGAAGTTTTGGTAGACAGAGCATGCCCTGGGGAGAGGGAAAAACCAAGGGGGCGAAGCCCCCGCAGTTTTTCCCGACCCCAAGGGCATGCTCTGTCTACCAAAACCGAGGGAAAGTGTTTTTCCATACTTATAAACCGTCTAAATTGATTAAATGTTATAACGAGCATCTATAAATGAGGCGCTTCATTAGAGCCCTTCTTGAAGACGTGATATCATAACTTGCACGTGAAATTCGCTGACTTGCCAGGCGGTCAAGAGCACTTTGATGTGTCAACAACAAAACACAACTAAAATACTTACTTTTAAATGAAAGTGAAATCTTCGGTCTCTAAATGTTTGTGTTGCAATATTCCACTTCTTTAAAACTTTTCAAAACGAAAATTCGCAAATTTAAAAGGTGTCTTTTGCTTTACACGATTTACGACTTTAAACAATCCAATTAATACATAGAGGTAGTTGTGACATAACGGCTAGCAATGACTTCACGTGCAAATTGTGCAGCATTGATAAGCACTTGTTTAAAAGCACGTGTTTTGAAACCTCGCTGTCCTTTCACCAGAGACTCTGAAGTGGAAAGATGAGCGACGACAACTTTCATTTTGTTACCCAGTCTTCATTCACTGTACACATGACATTCAATTTTAATTGAATTAAAATTTTGAATTGCTACGTGTAGTCATTTTTTCAGTTACTTGGTTAAACCTGGGATTTGAGGTTTTACATTCAAAGTAAAACCTCCAGAACGAAAATAAAACCTCATGATAGGTTTTACTTTGAAAGTAAAACCTCACAATAGGTTTTACTTTGAAAGTAAAACCTCACAATAGGTTTTAATGCCTATAGAAAGAACTCTCTTACTTAATAGAGATTCCAATGAATAGGTTTATAACTCTAGTGAAAACCCTACCTCAGCATTGAGATTGTCTGTGAGGCTGTTGATAAACTCTAGTGAAAACCCTACCTCAGCATTGAGATTGTCTGTGAGACTGTTGATGAACTGTAGTGAAAACCCTACCTCAGCATTGAGATTGTCTGTGAGACTGTTGATAAACTCTAGTGAAAACCCTACCTCAGCATTGAGACTGTCTGTGAGGCTGTTGATAAACTGTAGTGAAAACCCTACCTCAGCATTGAGATTGTCTGTGAGACTGTTGATGAACTGTATAGTGAAAAACCTACCTCAGCATTGAGATTGTCTGTGAGACTGTTGATGAACTGTATAGTGAAAACCCTACCTCAGCATTGAGATTGTCTGTGAGACTGTTGATAAACTGTATAGTGAAAACCCTACCTCAGCATTGAGATTGTCTGTGAGACTGTTGATGAACTGTATAGTGAAAACCCTACCTCAGCATTGAGATTGTCTGTGAGACTGTTGATGAACTGTATAGTGAAAACCCTACCTCAGCATTGAGATTGTCTGTGAGGCTGTTGATAAACTCTAGTGAAAACCCTACCTCAGCATTGAGATTGTCTGTGAGGCTGTTGATAAACTCTAGTGAAACCCTACCTCAGTATTGAGATTGTCTGTGAGACTGTTGATAAACTCTAGCGAAAACCCTACCTCAGCATTGAGATTGTCTGAGACTGTTGATAAACTCTAGTGAAAACCCTACCTCAGCATTGAGATTGTCTGTGAGGCTGTTGATAAACTCTAGTGAAACCCTACCTCAGCATTGAGATTGTCTGTGAGACTGTTGATGAACTGTACTGTGAAAACCCTACCTCAGCATTGAGATTGTCTGTGAGACTGTTGATGAACTGTAGTGAAAACCCTACCTCAGCATTTAGATTGTCTGTGAGACTGTTGATGAACTGTATAGTGAAAACCCTACCTCAGCATTGAGATTGTCTGTGAGACTGTTGATGAACTGTATAGTGAAAACCCTACCTCAGCATTGAGATTGTCTGTGAGGCTGTTGATAAACTCTAGTGAAAACCCTACCTCAGCATTGAGATTGTCTGTGAGGCTGTTGATAAACTCTAGTGAAACCCTACCTCAGCATTGAGATTGTCTGTGAGACTGTTGATAAACTCTAGCGAAAACCCTACCTCAGCATTGAGATTGTCTGTGAGACTGTTGATAAACTCTAGTGAAAACCCTACCTCAGCATTGAGATTGTCTGTGAGGCTGTTGATAAACTCTAGTGAAACCCTACCTCAGCATTGAGATTGTCTGTGAGACTGTTGATGAACTGTATAGTGAAAACCCTACCTCAGCATTGAGATTGTCTGTGAGACTGTTGATGAACTCTAGTGAAAACCCTACCTCAGCATTGAGATTGTCTGTGAGGCTGTTGATAAACTCTAGTGAAAACCCTACCTCAGCATTGAGATTGTCTGTGAGACTGTTGATAAACTCTAGTGAAACCCTACCTCAGCATTGAGATTGTCTGTGAGACTGTTGATGAACTGTATAGTGAAAACCCTACCTCAGTATTGAGATTGTCTGTGAGACTGTTGATAAACTCTAGCGAAAACCCTACCTCAGCATTGAGATTGTCTGTGAGGCTGTTGATAAACTCTAGTGAAAACCCTACCTCAGCATTGAGATTGTCTGTGAGACTGTTGATGAACTGTATAGTGAAAACCCTACCTCAGCATTGAGATTGTCTGTGAGGCTGTTGATAAACTCTAGTGAAACCCTACCTCAGCATTGAGATTGTCTGTGAGACTGTTGATGAACTGTATAGTGAAAACCCTACCTCAGCATTGAGATTGTCTGTGAGACTGTTGATGAACTCTAGTGAAAACCCTACCTCAGCATTGAGATTGTCTGTGAGGCTGTTGATAAACTCTAGCGAAAACCCTACCTCAGCATTGAGATTGTCTGTGAGGCTGTTGATAAACTCTAGTGAAACCCTACCTCAGCATTGAGATTGTCTGTGAGACTGTTGATGAACTGTATAGTGAAAACCCTACCTCAGCATTGAGATTGTCTGTGAGACTGTTGATAAACTGTATAGTGAAAACCCTACCTCAGCATTTAGATTGTCTGTGAGGCTGTTGATAAACTCTAGTGAAAACCCTACCTCAGCATTGAGATTGTCCGTGAGGCCGTTGATAAACTCTAGTGAAAACCCTACCTCAGCATTGAGATTGTCTGTGAGACTGTTGATAAACTGTAGTGAAAACCCTACCTCAGCATTGAGATTGTCTGTGAGGCTGTTGATAAACTCTAGTGAAACCCTACCTCAGCATTGAGATTGTCTGTGAGACTGTTGATGAACTGTATAGTGAAAACCCTACCTCAGCATTGAGATTGTCTGTGAGACTGTTGATAAACTCTAGCGAAAACCCTACCTCAGCATTGAGATTGTCTGTGAGACTGTTGATAAACTCTAGTGAAAACCCTACCTCAGCATTGAGATTGTCTGTGAGGCTGTTGATAAACTCTAGTGAAAACCCTACCTCAGCATTGAGATTGTCTGTGAGACTGTTGATAAACTCTAGTGAAACCCTACCTCAGCATTGAGATTGTCTGTGAGACTGTTGATGAACTGTATAGTGAAAACCCTACCTCAGTATTGAGATTGTCTGTGAGACTGTTGATAAACTCTAGCGAAAACCCTACCTCAGCATTGAGATTGTCTGTGAGGCTGTTGATAAACTCTAGTGAAAACCCTACCTCAGCATTGAGATTGTCTGTGAGACTGTTGATGAACTGTATAGTGAAAACCCTACCTCAGCATTGAGATTGTCTGTGAGACTGTTGATAAACTCTAGTGAAACCCTACCTCAGCATTGAGATTGTCTGTGAGACTGTTGATGAACTGTATAGTGAAAACCCTACCTCAGCATTGAGATTGTCTGTGAGACTGTTGATGAACTCTAGTGAAAACCCTACCTCAGCATTGAGATTGTCTGTGAGGCTGTTGATAAACTCTAGCGAAAACCCTACCTCAGCATTGAGATTGTCTGTGAGGCTGTTGATAAACTCTAGTGAAACCCTACCTCAGCATTGAGATTGTCTGTGAGACTGTTGATGAACTGTATAGTGAAAACCCTACCTCAGCATTGAGATTGTCTGTGAGACTGTTGATAAACTGTATAGTGAAAACCCTACCTCAGCATTGAGATTGTCTGTGAGGCTGTTGATAAACTCTAGTGAAAACCCTACCTCAGCATTGAGATTGTCCGTGAGGCCGTTGATAAACTCTAGTGAAAACCCTACCTCAGCATTGAGATTGTCTGTGAGACTGTTGATAAACTGTAGTGAAAACCCTACCTCAGCATTGAGATTGTCTGTGAGGCTGTTGATAAACTCTAGTGAAACCCTACCTCAGCATTGAGATTGTCTGTGAGACTGTTGATGAACTGTATAGTGAAAACCCTACTTCAGCATTGAGATTGTCTGTGAGACTGTTGATAAACTCTAGCGAAAACCCTACCTCAGCATTGAGATTGTCTGTGAGACTGTTGATAAACTCTAGTGAAAACCCTACCTCAGCATTGAGATTGTCTATGAGGCTGTTGATAAACTCTAGTGAAACCCTACCTCAGCATTGAGATTGTCTGTGAGACTGTTGATGAACTGTATAGTGAAAACCCTACCTCAGCATTGAGATTGTCTGTGAGACTGTTGATAAACTGTATAGTGAAAACCCTACCTCAGCATTGAGATTGTCTGTGAGACTGTTGATGAACTGTATAGTGAAAACCCTACCTCAGCATTGAGATTGTCTGTGAGACTGTTGATGAACTGGCTCTCGATGGGGTTCTGTCTGGTCATCAGGGACAGATAGTGGCTCAGCTTGTCATGGGTTGTGATGATTGTGCCATGACCGAACTTGTCAAACTGGGGTCGACCAGCGCGACCGAAGATCTGCATCACGTCCAGGATTCCTAAGTCTACGAAGGAGCCTCGCTTCGCATCGTACAGTTGCGTGCCCTGAACATCAAACATTCAACAGATACAGAAGAGAAATATTAGACACACTATATTTCAAGATTAAGACAAAAAGTCAAAATTTACATCAACATTCTCCTAGATTACCATGTTTGTTTCTTGCTTAGCAATCTAATGGGAGGAAAGAAGAAAGGAGCTGCCTATCCTCTACCACACAACAGACAGCCACAGTATGATAAATAGAGGATATTTCATGTGTTAAGTGAAATATCAAGTTTCTCTTATCAAGTGACTGGGGTGAACGGAGATATTTTCCTGAGTGGCGTAGCCACTAGTTAACATAACTCCTTTTCCTCCGTCACGAGATGAGTGAAACATGCTATTTCACGAGACACATGGAATATCCTATTTATTATATTCATTTTGTGTAGTTGTCTACAGGAAAACTAAATTATTTCATCAAAAATGTAAAACCTTGAAACGTAAATTCTCCCTACCTAACACAGAGGGATGGGTCACCATCCCTATTTGCGACTAAAAAAGTAGTCTCAGGTTGGAAAAATCATAAAAGATATAAACAAAAGTAACCAAAAATATTTAGGATGATAAAAATTCTGTATCATACATGTAGATATGAGTAGATACAAAATCAACTGTAACAAAACTATTCTTGAAAACGTTGAGACCGCTGTTGGAAGCGAAAGAATACACGCTGGTCAAGTAACAAAAATGGCATGAAGGTCTCCATTGACCAGTTAAGTGAGAAATTTACAGTTTATAATGGAACATTTTCAAGAGAATAACAAACGCCATGAAGCAATATTAAATGACCATCTGTCATTCTTTTGACTTGTCAACGTGGAACTAAGGTATAAAGTAAGTCAACAGTTTGTGAACGGGGCAGACACTTACGATAAAGTGAGTATATTTCCGTCAAAGTGTTATGTTCACAGCAGTGAAATATCATTTGTTATATTCACTGCAATTAAACCTCGGAAAACTCATTCCTTCACACTTAAGTATCTCATAAGGTAAAATAAACTATATCAGTGATGACATGGTCATGCACAAACCATGTTGCCGGTGTTAACATCATCTGCTGTATCATGGCCGAACAATCACCCACCTTGATGATGACAGCGTGGGCGGGCAGATTGACCCCCCACGCCAGGGTGGCCGTACACACCAACACCTTGATGTGGCCATCGCTGAAGTACCGCTCGACCAGGTTCCGGTCCTGGCGCAGCATCCCGGCATGATGCATGCTGAAGCCGTCCGGGAACAGGTCCTTCAGCTGCTTGTTCCTGGACCTCAGCAACTGTGGCAGAACACCAGGGAGGGGTTAGTGTGGCAGAACACCAGGGAGGGGTTAGTGTTGTAGAACACCAGGGAGGGGTTAGTGTGGTAGATCACCAGGGAGGGGTAAGTGTGGCAGAACACCAGGGAGGGGTTAGTGTGGTAGAACACCAGGGAGGGGTTAGTGTGGTCGACACCAGGGAGGGGTTAGTGTGGCAGAACACCAGGGAGGGGTTAGTGTGGCAGAACATGAGGGAGGGGTTAGTGTGGTAGAACACCAGGGAGGGGTTAGTGTGGTAGAACACCAGGGAGGGGTTAGTGTGGTAGAACACCAGGGAGGGGTTAGTGTGGCAGAACACCAGGGAGGGGTTAGTGTGGCAGAACACAAGGGAGGGGTTAGTGTTCAAGAAGGGGAGGGGTTAGAGTGGTAGAACATCAGGGAGGGGTTAGTGTGTTACAAAATCAGGAGGGGATAGTGTGGTATAACACCAGGGAGGGGTTAGTGTGGCAGAACACCAAGGAGGGGGTAGTGTGGCAGAACATCAGGATGGGGTTAGTGTTCCAGAAGGGGAGGGTTTAGAGTGGTAGAACATCAGGGAGGGGTTAGTGTGGTACAACATCAGGACAGGATAGTGTGGTATAACACCAGGAAGGGGTTAGTGTGGCAGAACATCAGGGAGGGGTTAGTGTGGCAGAACATCAGGGAGGGGTTAGTGTGGTATAACACCAGGAAGGGGTTAGTGTGACAGAACATCAGGGAGGGGGTAGTGTGGCAGAACCCCAGGGAGGGGGTAGTGTGGGTTAGTATAGTAGGTTAGGGGAGGGGTTAGTGTGGTACATCATCAGGGAGGGGTTAGTGTGGTATAACACCAGGGAGGGGTTAGTGTGGCAGAACACCAGGGAGAGGGTAGTGTAGCAGAACATCAGGGAGGGAAAAGTGTGGTATAACATCAGGGAGGGGATAGTGTGGTATAACATCAGGGAGAGGATAGTGTGGTATAACATCAGGGAGGGGTTAGTGTGGTACAACATCAGGGAGGGGTTAGTGTGGTATAACATCAGGGAGAGGATAGTGTGGTATAACATCAGAGAGGGGGTAGTGTAGCATAACATCAGGGAGAGGATAGTGTGGTATTACATCAGGGAGGGGTTAGTGTGGTACAACATCAGGGAGGGGATAGTGTGGTATAACATCAGGGAGGGGATAGTGTGTAACAACATCAGGGAGGGGTTAGTTTGGTATAACATCAGGAAGGGGTTAGTGTGGTACAACATCAGGGAGGGGTTATTGTGGTATAACATCAGGGAGAGGATAGTGTGGTATAACATCAGGGAGGGGTTAGTGTGGTATAGCATCAGGGAGAGGATAGTGTGGTACAACATCAGGGAGGGGATAGTGTGGTATAACATCAGGGAGGGGTTAGTGTAGTACAACATCAGGGAGGGGAAAGTGTGGTACAACATCAGGGAGGGGTTAGTGTGGTATAACATCAGGGAGGGGTTAGTGTAGCAGAACATCAGGGAGGGGATAGTGTGGTATAACATCAGGGAGGGGTTACTGTGGTATAACATCAGGAAGGGGTTAGTGTGGCAGAACACCAGGGAGGGGTTAGTGTGGTAGGACACCAAGGAGGGGTTAGTGTGGTCGACACCAGGGAGGGGTTAGTGTGGCAGAACACCAGGGAGGGGTTAGTGTGGCAGAACATGAGGGAGGGGTTAGTGTGGTAGAACACCAGGGAGGGGTTAGTGTGGTAGAACACCAGGGAGGGGTTAGTGTGGTAGAACACCAGGGAGGGGTTAGTGTGGTAGAACACCAGGGAGGGGTTAGTGTGGCAGAACACCAGGGAGGGGTTAGTGTGGTAGAACACCAGGGAGGGGTTAGTGTGGTCGACACCAGGGAGGGGTTAGTGTGGCAGAACACCAGGGAGGGGTTAGTGTGGCAGAACATGAGGGAGGGGTTAGTGTGGTAGAACACCAGGGAGGGGTTAGTGTGGTAGAACACCAGGGAGGGGTTAGTGTGGTAGAACACCAGGGAGGGGTTATTGTGGTATAACATCAGGGAGAGGATAGTGTGGTATAACATCAGGGAGGGGATAGTGTGGTACAACATCAGGGAGGGGTTAGTGTGGTACAACATCAGGGAGGGGTTAGTGTGGTACAACATCAGTTAGGGATTAGTGTAGAAGAACATCAGGGAGGGGATAGTGTGTAACAACATCAGGGAGGGGTTAGTGTGGTATAACATCAGGGAGGGGTTAGTGTGGTATAACACCAGGGAGGGGTTAGTGTAGCAGAACATCAGGGAGGGGATAGTGTGGTACAACATCAGGGAGGGGTTAGTGTGGTATAACATCAGGGAGGGGTTAGTGTGGTACAACATCAGGGAGGGGTTATTGTGGCAGAACATCAGGGAGGGGATAGTGTGACAGAATATCAGATAAGGGGAGTGGTTTGTGTGGCAGAACAATAGGGAGGGGTTAGTGTGACAGAACGTCAGACAAGGGGAGGGGTTTCATGTCAAAATAATTTCTGGGTAATGTGGCGGGAAGAAAGAGCTTATGCAGATAATTAGGATGAATGGAAGAAATACTTGTGTCTGAGACTTACATTCTTCTGAGCCTCGCCGTAGCTGCGACCCTGGTCAGCAAGGAACAGCTGGGAGTGACCTCGGTTCTTGGAGTAGTCCCGCAACATCATGGCCGTCCTCACTGTCTCATTACGGGCGTGGACGAACACCATCACCTGAAAACAGAGTCAGGTCATAAAGAAGGAAGAAGGATGAGGGTCAATTTCCGGAACACTTGAAATACAGATACGAACATTTTCAGACATGTTCAGATGGCTGACAACTTTTCTCTTTCTTACACGTGCGTATTTTGTGTTTATGACCTAATTAAATACAGAGGTATGACAAGGGGAGTAAAAATGACTGATGTTTCGAACTTCAAGTTCATATCAGAGCCCAAAAACTTGCTCAAGTTCAAATATTACAAGAAAAAAATAACGTCCTGAAAACTTTTATAATCAGCATTTAGTGTTGTCAAGTACCAAACATCCAATTCTTGAAAAGAACAAAGTCTCATTTATAAGAACATACGTGACTACTAGAGGTGTAACGATACGGGAGGGTCGCAATACGATACGTATCGTGATACAGGGGTCGCGATACGATACGTATCACGATACAGTGTTTACTGGTACAAGCTAAGCCAAGTTGATGTCTTTCTGCTCTCTAAAAGATGTGACAAGTGTTTATTTACTGTTATAGCATCTTCTCAGCAATACAGTATGTTTTACTGAAACAACAAACTGGCTTTGAAACTGTTAAACGTATTTCATGTTTAAAAGTACCGTATTTTCTTGAGTATAGTGCGCACCCCCCTCTAGCGGGTTCAATATTTTGGAAAAAAAGAAATTTGAATATTTTGCGCAGAAAAAAATTACACCGTACCCCTTCAGCGAAGTCCGGCAAACGAACGGGTGATGAGAAACTTCGTCAGTACAAATTCGAAATTTGAGATAAAAAATCACCAGACATGTTGATTTACCGTTTAAATTGTATTTTTTGTTCAGCTAGGCATTGTTTTATATCCAGGGATTAAGATTACCTTGTGTATTTTCTCGTAAACTAAGCCGGACACAGCAATCAGCTGTACACACGTTTTCTTGGAATCTACCGGTGATTCGGTCAAGACACACCCAATGATATAACTTAACAGGATTTTAATGCAAGGATCGGCAACAGTTGTATCTGAAACTATTCTTTTTATCAGGAATAATATATTCCAATATCTTGTTAATTTAGATGCAGCTTTTGCCGGGTATTATTTTTTACATGGAACCAGTCTGACCAGTCACCGTCAAGGCTCCCGTGCACATGATCGCGTGATCGCATGATCGCTTGATCGCGAGAATTACGTGTTGACATACAATCGTCCAACAAAAACAAATATGGCTTTTAACGAATCAAAGTATGGCACTTATGATATATGTATCCATTTTCTGTCAACTAGAGTTTGTTTCAAGGCGTCAATAGCAGTAACCTGACCGTGGTTGCTGTTAATAACGGTGAGTTGTGCGACATCCATGGTGTAATACTGGCAGAATCCCCAACAGCACTGTGGTCTAATACTTGCAGAATCCCTATCAGCACCATGGTCTAATACCAGCAGAATCCCCAACAGCACCATGGTGTAATACTGGCAGAATCCCCAACAGCACTGTGGTCTAATACTTGCAGAATCCATATCAGCTCTTCCGTTCGCTTCACACACGATTTCGCCGAAATAAATTAAAACAATATTAAAAGGAATTTTGAATAAAATTAATGAAATAAGTTACAAACATAAGTCCAAATATACAAAGAACACTTTTTCTAGCCAGACAGTGTAATTACATGAATAATTTGCGAACTTCAGTATGGATTTGTTGACATGGTATTTCCGGTGTTACGTGCTCACGGTAATGTCTTTCCATGGGGGAAAAAACATCAAAACTCATTAATTTGTGTATAATGCGCACCCCCTTCTACACAGCTGTTTTTGGGAGAAAAAAGGTGCGCACTATACTCAAGAAAATATGTAAGTAAACTGTGTTATGAAAATATCGTATGTATCGCGATACATGCTTTCCAAATCGATGCATCGTATCGTGGGCTGTGCATCGGGATACAATACTGTATCGCCGTGTCGTTACACCACTAGTGACTACTATCATAAGAATTTCTGATAGTTTTGCAAAAATTCTTAAATTTATGCATATCACGTAGGCCTTTTTAGGGCCCTTATCCTATATGATACTGGCAGAAACCCCCATCATCACCATGGTCTAATACTGGCAGAATCCCTATCAGCACCATGGTCTAATACTGGCAGAATCCCTATCAGCACCATGGTCTAATACTGGCAGAATCCCCTATCAGCACCATGGTCTAATACTGGCAGAATCCCTATCAGCACCATGGTCTAATACTGGCAGAATCCCTTTCAGCACCATGGTGTAATACTGGCAGAATCCCCAACAGCACCATGGTCTAATACTGGCAGAACCCCTAACAGCACCATGGTCTAATACTGGCAGAACCCCTATCAGCACCATAGTCTAATACTGGCAGAATCCATATCAGCTCTATGGTCTAATACTGGCAGAACCCCTAACAGCACCATGGTCTAATACTGGCAGAATCCCCAAAAGCACCATGGTCTAATACTGGCAGAATCCCTATCAGCACCATAGTCTAATACTGGCAGAATCCCCAACAGCACCATGGTCTAATACTGGCAGAATCCCTATCAGCACCATGGTCTAATACCGGCAGAATCCCTATCAGCACCATGGTCTAATACTGGCAGAATCCCCAACAGCACCATGGTCTAATACTGGCAGAACCCCTATCAGCACCATAGTCTAATACTGGCAGAACCCCTATCTGCACCATGGTCTAATACTGGCAGAACCCCTATCAGCACCATAGTCTAATACTGGCAGAATCCCCAACAGCACCATTGTCTAATACTGGCAGAATCCCTATCAGCACCATGGTGTAATACTGGCAGAATCCCTATCAGCACCATGGTCTAATACTGGCAGAACCCCTATCAGCACCATAGTCTAATACTGGCAGAATCCCCAACAGCACCATGGTCTAATACTGGCAGAATCCCTATCAGCACCATGGTGTAATACTGGCAGAACCCCTATCAGCACCATAGTCTAATACTGGCAGAATCCCCAACAGCACTGTGGTCTAATACAGGCAGAACCCCTATCAGCACCATGGTGTAATACTGGCAGAATCCCTATCAGCACCATAGTCTAATACTGGCAGAATCCCCAACAGCACTGTGGTCTAATACAGGCAGAACCCCTATCAGCACCATGGTGTAATACTGGCAGAATCCCTATCAGCACCATAGTCTAATACTGGCAGAATCCCCAACAGCACTGTGGTCTAGTACTGGTACGATGACAGTCACTGAAGCACAGGTTGCTGGGGGACTATGGGAGTCGCCACAAGAACAGAGCAGTGTGCTGTGCGTCTGTCTGCAGAACATGGAGGCCTACCTGGTAGCCGGCCTTGATCTGTGCCACCACCTTGTCGTAGCAGACGTTGTTAAACTCCATCATCTGCTGCACCCGGTTCGTGGCCTTCACACCTGAGACACAAACAACATTTCTCACTGTCTAATTTCAAGGGGCATGGGTCTAAGTCCTTGTCTGTGATAAGACTGGCCAAGGGGCATGGGTCTAAGTCCTTGTCTGTGATAGACTGGCCAAGGGGCATGGGTCTAAGTCCTTGTCTGTGATAAGACTGGCCAAGCGGCATGGGTCTAATTCTCACCTATGAAGGTCTGGCCGAGGGTCTATGTTCTCACCTATGAAGGTCTGGCCGAGGGTCTATGTTCTCACCTATGAAGGTCTGGCTAACGGCCAAGGGTCTAGATTCTCACCTATGAAGGTCTGGATGTGGGTTTGTTCTCACCTATGAAGGTCTGGTCGAGGGTCTAAGTTCTCACCTATGAAGGTCTGGCTGAGGGTCTTAGTTCTCACCTATGAAGGTCTGGTCGAGGGTCTAAGTTCTCACATATGAGGGTCTGGTCGAGGGTCTTAGTTCTCACCTATGAAGGTCTGGCTGAGGGTCTAAATTCTCACCTATGAAGGTCTGGCTGAGGGTCTAAGTTCTCACATATGAAGGTCTGGTCGAGGGTCTAAGTTCTCACCTATGAAGGTCTGGCTGAGGGTCTTAGTTCTCACCTATGAAGGTCTGGCTGAGGGTCTAAGTTCTCACATATGAAGGTCTGGCTGAGGGTCTAAGTTCTCACCTATGAAGGTCTGGCTGAGGGTCTTAGTTCTCACCTATGAAGGTCTGGCTGAGGGTCTTAGTTCTCACCTATGAAGGTCTGGCTGAGGGTCTAAGTTCTCACATATGAAGGTCTGGTCGAGGGTCTAAGTTCTCACCTATGAAGGTCTGGTCGAGGGTCTAAATTCTCACCTATGAAGGTCTGGTCGAGGGTCTAAATTCTCACCTATGAAGGTCTGGCCGAGGGGCACAGGTCTGAACCTTCCATCAAAGAAGAACAGTCCGAGGTAGGGGTTGACGTTGAGGAACCTGGCCACGTCGATGTAGTTGGGCAGCGTTGCCGAGAGACCCACAATACGGATCATACTCTGAGTACTCTCCACCTGGTGGAATGTACGGTTTGTATTACAGCAACATCATGGAAACATCATGACGATATTGAAGTAATATCACAGCAACATCATAATATCACAGAAATATCATAGTAAAGTAAACTACGGTCATTACGAACTCAAAGGGACCACTAATTTTAGTTTGTTATAACTATAGTTCATTATGAGCATACATTCAGCATATATACCAAATGGTCGGGACCAAACAATTTGTTCATTATACCCATCAGTTCTTTATAAACATGTTCGTTATAAAAATAGTTAACTGTAATACCATAGTAATATCACAAAAATATCACAGCAATATCATAATATTAGCACAGTAATATCCTACTGAGTGAGTGAAGCAGTATTACTGTGATATGACATCAATCTACTGTGACAGCTGATGTCGACATCTCTCCAGCAAGGTGTTCCCTCCCCACGACGCACCTGTCTTATAGTCCTGGCCACGAGACTCTCGATGACGGGCCCCCGGTCGTCATGGAGCAGATGGACCTCGTCGATGATGAGCAGTTTCACCAGCTGAGCCAGGGCCACGTCACCTGTACTCTTCCTCGTCACCACATCCCACTTCTCGGGGGTCGTCACCAGCATCTGTCAGACAATCAGTGTCACGATGGCTTAAAGTATTTAAATTTTGACCCAAGTAACTTGAATCTGAAGCATGCACAGTCTGGCGGGTCTGATAACCCATAAAATAACCTAATGACAAAGATACATTGATGAAAGATCTGAACTGGAAACTAGCAGCACGTATGTAAGAAGTAACACCGATGTATGAAAGTCAATGCCAAAGAATTATTGTTTCTTCAGCCCTATACAGCAATATGATGGAGGCATGTAAAAGTGGCCCCCCACACCCCCAACTAACCTGTGACCCCCACTAACCTGTGACCCCGACTAACCTGTGACCCCAACTAACCTGTGACCCCTACTAACCTGTGACCCCACTAACCTGTGACCCCCACTAACCTGTGACCCCCACTAACCTGTGACCCCTACTAACCTGTGACCCCTACTAACCTGTGACCCCTACTAACCCGTGACCCCACTAACCTGTGACCCCCATTAACCTGTGACCCCCACTAACCTGTGACCCCCACTAACCTGTGACCCCCACTAACCGGTGACCCTAATAACGTGTGACCCCACTAACCTGTGACCACTACTAACCCGTGACCCCACTAACCTGTGACCCCCATTAACCTGTGACCCCCACTAACCTGTGACCCCCTACTAACCCGTGACCCCACTAACCTGTGACCCCCACTAACCTGTGACCCTCACTACCCCGTGAGCCCTACTAACCCGTGAGCCCTACTAACCCGTGACCCCCACTAACCTGTGACCCCACTAACCTGTGACCCCATTAACCTGTGACCCCAACTAACCTGTGTTTTCAGGATCTCAGCCTTTGTGAGGGACATGTCCCCGGTCAGTTCCCGTACTGCAATACCTAGTGGCTCCAGACGTCCACCGAAGTTCCGAACCATTTCTGCCGCCAGAGCTTTCATGGGAGCAACATACACAATCTACAAGAAAGATGAGACAGTCAGACACAAATTACAGATCAGCATACACAAATTACAAGTCAGAATGGAATCATCAGCAACGTGAACTTTGGTTCTTCTTCCCGCTGCAAGGGTGGCCCAGTCGTCTAAGGCGCCGCGTTTCGCTGTGCAAAGCTGGTCCCTTGAGCACGCCAGAAACCTATAATTGTGGGTTCGACTCGATACTGTTAAAAGCAGAGTTAAACCCAACTCACTCACTCACTCCTCCATTGAGGCCTCATGATAGCAAGTACACAAATGAAGGGCTCTGTCGTGTTACCTTGAACTCGTCTTTCTTGATGACGCCCTGGGACAAGTGCTGATTCAGCTCGTGCAGGATGGTCAACATGGCGATGTTGGTTTTACCGGCGCCAGTTGGGGCACAGATCAGCAGGTTCTCATTGGTCTTGTAGGCAGCTTCAAACACCACAGACTGGATGCGGTTCAAGCTCTTCATTCCGCGGAACGCCAGCTGACCAATCTGGGCAGACCAAATATTTGTGATTGATGATGACATGGACATTAATGATGTGCACATGTACATGGTGTAGGAGAGGTGGACAAAATTAATATTAACAACAAAATCTAGTAACATATTCAAGGCCTGTGAAGAACCGGGGTAGACTAGGTCTTCAGCAACCCATGCTTACTGTAAAAGCGACTATGCTTGTCGTAAGAAGTGACTAACATGATGGAAAGGTCAGGTTCGCTGATTTGATTCATGCATGTCATCATATCCCCCAATTGCGTGGATCGATGCTCATGATGTCAATCACTGGATTGTCTGGTCCAGACTCGATTATTTACTAGAACATAGCAGTGTTAAACAAACAGACACACAGTTCAAATGTAAGTTCTATATCAAGAGCTGTATCCACTGTATATATCCACTGTATATATCCAGAGTTATATCTAGTGATATATCCAGAGTTATATTCAGGAATGTTTCCAATGTTATAGTGAACATGTGATGTCTCACCTCATCCAACTCATCAATAGGAATGAGCCTCTGCCCCACATCGATAGGGGCGGGGTCGTTGGGGGGGACGGACACCTCCTCGTACTCCTTGTTGTCCGTACGATTGAACCCTTGGGGCAACACCATCTGGACAAATTGGTAACATGTAAAGAATTAATGATTAAAAATGGATATATTACTTCTTGCTGTGACAAATATGTGAAATAAGGCAGTATCAAATGTACCAGTTATAACCACACGATACTCTATAACCTGCTCTATAACCAGTCATAACCACACGATACTCTATAACCTGCTCTTTGACCAGTCATAACCACATGATATTCTATAACCTGTTCTATAACCAGTCATAACCACACGATACTCTATAACCTGCTCTATAACCAGTCATAACCACACGATACTCTATAACCTGCTCTATAACCAGTCATAACCACACGATACTCTATAACCTGCTCTATAACCAGTCATAACCACATGATACTCTATAACCTGCTCTATAACCAGTCATAACCACATGATACTCTATAACCAGCTCTATAACCACACGATACTCTATAACCTGCTCTATAACCAGTCATACCCACAGGATACTCTATAACCTGCTCTATAACCACACGATACTCTATAACCAGCTCTAAAACCACACGATACCCTTTAACCTGCTCTATAACCAGTCATAACCACATGATACTCTATAACCTGCTCTAAAACCACACGATACTCTATAACCAGCTCTATAACCACACGATACTCTATAACCTGCTCTATAACCAACTCTATAACCAAATCCGTAACCAGCTCTTTAATGAGCTCTTTAACCAGCTTTGTAACCAGCTCTTTCCCAACCATGTGAACATCCTATGTCCGATTCCCCAGGTTTATCTTCGTGCAGGTTCAATATTTATTTTCCAGACTTCTTTTACAAAACAAATAAATCACTTGCTTTGTACACTATACTTCATCACTGTTGTTATGTGGCAGAAAGTTGTACATATATACATATGTTGCACATGGCGGACACACGACATTCGGACTTGTGATGCCATTTTCTCCAAGACTAGTGTTGTGTTTCACTTTTAGAACATTTGACATTTTAATTTCAACCTTGATGATCAGTTTTGCCAAGTTTCATCTTTTTAATACGTCTCAAAGTAAGTTTACAGTGTTTGGACAAATAAGGTTTCTCATATATCTATCCATGGTGATGTTTCTTTAGCAGTTCAGTATATTTGTGGAAACTGTCAGTGACAGCAAATGATTGAAGTACTTGTAAAATGTTGGGTGTGGGTGGTGGCTGTGAGGGAGTTATCTGCCCCTGGTTGTTTAACAACAAGACAGGTTTGATGATTCGAGTAGTTTCCTAATGGGACAGTTTATGTAGCACCCAACATTCAACACACTGCAGAAGGAACTGGACATGCCACTCACGCTGCTCCCCCCCACGTATGCTGATGACTGTCTCGCCTCCTCGTAAGAGTCGAACACGAATGGGTATTTCTCTCTCTGGTAGACCTTGCTGCTGCTGGTGAACAGGGGACGATTGGAGGCCACCTGCAGCGCCGCCTCCCTGACAACACACGGTTACCATGGTTATTCGTGGTAGAATGTACCCAGTGGGTAAAAAGCAGTTACCTTGAAACATATTTCATCCGGTGACACACTCCTGCTTGTAAATAAACATTTCACGTGACACATGACACACAGTCAGATGAAGGCTAGGTGTAGTTACACATTACAGAGATCAACAGAGTCCAGTTTTATAGATGTATCAGGGTGAAGGTCCTCACCTCTGGGCGCGCATCTCCAGGGGGTTGAAGGCTTTCTTTCCTTCTTCCTCCACTTTCTTCCCGTCCCGCTTGGACAGTTTCTTCTCCTCCCTACGTATCTGCTTCATCAGCTGTTTCTCTTCCTCGGACTGGGGAAAGATGAGAGTGAGTGAGTGAGTGAGTGAGTGGGTGGGAGTGTGAGTGAGTGATCGGGGAGTGTGTGAGTGAGGGAGGGAGGGAGGGAGGGAGGTACACTGTGTCTGTGCAGTCTGAGTGTTATCTTGTACACAATGATGAACACGACAAAGACAGTCGGATGTGATCACAGTTTGATGTATCAGCAGTCAAGTGATGTGCAACCATCCACACTGTTGGGGTACAATGACACACACGCGCCAGATCACACTCACTAACAGACAAGACAAGCAGCTCTTTATGTAACCAAGCAACATCTTCTCCCTCCCTGACATGCCTACCTGCATTGTAACCTAGCAACAGCCTCCCCCTCCATGACATGCCTACCTGTATTGTAACCTAGCAACAGCCATTCCCTCCATGACATGCCTACCTGCATTGTAACCTAGCAACAGCCATTCCCTCCCTGACATGCCTACCTGTATTGTAACCTAGCAACAGCCTCCCCCTCCATGACATGCCTACCTGTATTGTAACCTAGCAACAGCCATTCCCTCCCTGACATGCCTACCTGTATTGTAACCTAGCAACAGCCTCCCCCTCCCTCATATGCCTACCTGTATTGTTACCAAGCAACAGCCTCTCCCTCCCTCACATGCCTACCTGTATTGTAACCTAGCAACTTCGTCTCCCTTTCTGACACGCCTGCCTGCATTGTAACCTAGCAACAGCCTCCCCCTCCCTGAGATGCCTACCTGCATTGTAACCTAGCAACAGCCATTCCCTCCCTGACATGCCTACCTGTATTGTAACCTAGCAACCGCCTCCCCCTTCCTGCTATGCCTACCTGTATTGTAACCTAGCAACAGCCATTCCCTCAATGACATGCCTACCTGCATTGAAACCTAGCAACTACCTCCCTGACATGCCTACCTGTATTGTAACCTAGCAACAGCCATTCCCTCCATAACATGCCTACCTGCATTGAAACCTAGCAACTGCACTGACATGCCTACCTGTATTGTAACCTAGCAACATCCTCTCCCCCCCCCCTGACGTTCCTGCCTGTCTTGTAACCTAGCAACTACCTCCCTGACATGCCTACCTGTATTGTAACCTGGCAACCATAGGTTGGTCTGTCCACTTCCTTCTTTCCTGTAAATATATTGACAACATAAGCAGCATATCACATAAAACAAACTGTACTTGAATACAAACATTGACAGCCAATTGACAAGAGACATGTGAAATGTGACACTGCGATCAAATTGACAGCCAATTGACTTGAGACTTGACCCATTAATGGGAAACGTGTCACTGTGAACTACATTGACAGCCAATTGACATGTCACTGTGACCTACATTGACAGCCAATTGACATGTCACTGTGACCTCCATTGAGAGCCAATTGACAGGTCACTGTGACCTCCATTGACAGTCAATCGACAAGTCACTGTGAACTACATTGACAGCCAATTGACATGTCACTGTGACCTACATTGACAGCCAACTGACATGTCACTGTGACCTACTCTGGGCCTGCACTTTTGCTATTGCGGCTCTGTTAGTGTCGGCCACTAGGGTCTTCATTAGGCGACTCCGGTTCGACAGCAGACTTTGAATCAGCCCAAAACGGTCAAAACCAAGCAGCTCAAACAGCTGAAAAAAAACAAAGGGTGAGAAAGTAACATAACAGATTTATATATTTAATATAGATAAGAAGAAAACATTTTAACTGCTCCTAAAATCTGATCGAGATTTTGTTCATTAGGTCTAGAACAGCATAGTAAATATTTTTGATCAATTCAATTTTGATGATCACAAATGTAGTTCCCATGGAGATTCAGTAACACATTCTATTCAGGATTCTGATTCAGGGGAGTATATAATTTCAGCCTATTCAAGGTTCAACACAAACCTCATTCTGCAGTTCCTCATCTGTCTTGGTGGAACACAGAACCTCGAAGATGGTGGTGGACAGGTCCTCTAGACTCAGCCCGATGTCTGTTTCCCCCGATGAGAAGTACTTCCTCACTTCCTGCAGGAGCCATGATGAGTCACACCTGTCCTCCAACCGTCCTGCTCCCCCCTCTGCAGCCTTCTTCTCCGACACGGGCGGAGCGTTATATTTCAAATCTACATTTTTCTCTTCCACTTCATCTTCAGATTCAGAACTCGACAACTCTTCTTCCCTATCTAGTGCTGGAGTTAAGAATTTGATATTTTTCCCGAATTCCTGAATAATGGCTGCTCCATCTGCTTCCTCCCGACCGTGGAAGTCATCCTCCAGGAGGACGTCGCCTGGCAACCAGGACACGATGCGGGAGACCAGCTCACATGCTTTCGTTGCTGCGGTGGCTGGGAATGGGCCGAAGATGCTCCTCAGAGTCGTCGTCTCTCTCTGACCCACGCTCTCTGCAAATTTGAAAATTTCAAACAGGTACGCTGCTGCTCCCTCCACAATGTCCGAGGATGCTTCACCGCCAACTGGAAACAAGGACAGAAGTGTGAGTGAGTGAGTGAGTTTGGTGTTGGGAATAGAACCCATGGGAAAATGAGTGAGTGATGGGGAATGGAACCAGCATGACATAGTGAATCTCACCGGAGTGTCTTTTGATATCAAATATATAAACACGAGTTGATAAAAGCGGAATAACTCTGAGGCATGCCGAAGACTTTTATCCACTTTTATCAACAAGTGTATCATCCAACACCATTCCTCCAACTTTTTCAGTTTGTAGACAGTAATAAGCAGTGTCTTAAAAAAAGTACTGCTAACAGCTTCAGTAGCAGAGCCATTAGTAATGTCATTTGATTGTGACGTCATTGTAACCAATGATGTCACAATGGTCTGCAAAGCATAGTGATGCAATTCCATTGCATTGATATCTACAACGTAGATATCGCTTGATCTCACCTAAGCGATATCTCCTGTGGGAGCCAGTGTTGGATGATAAAGAGATTTATCTAGGATTCCAAACTACAAATTAGGCAGGTAAATTTATTCAAAATTATATTTTCTTAAATTTACAGTTATTATAAAACTGCATTCGATGCAAAAAAGTTGAGTTGACAGTAGGTTTCACAGACCCTGTATCTTGTAGGAACTAGAGCTGACTCGTCAATATTGGTCATGTCAATTGAGACTCATCTAAAATATGTTGAGTATTTTGAAAGAAAAGTGCATCAAATACACAGGGTTCACGCATCATGTGAAGTCAATACACTCGCAAATGTATTCTACTTCAACTTTATCTTGTTTATCAATAAAATTAACACCATGAACACGACATCTTCCCGGGGCAAGGGAGTTAACTGACTATAAAAGTCCAGTTTCCACCCTTGCCGAACAAGGCTGGTATTATGGAGTTACATTTTGGCTGGACTATGCTTAGTCTAATCAAAATTGGGCAACGAAATCGAAATCCAGTTCGTAAACTGTCCTGCAGAGATTTCCGTTGATTGCAGGATTTGCAAAGCATGTGCACCGCCAACTAGTTGTCAACAGATATTTTCCAAATCTTTTCATGTTTTTAATCAAGGTACTCACATGATCACACGTTTTATCACAATATAGTTCTTGATTATTGATCAGATCGTCTTGACTGGGCGTCGCCATTTTTTTAAGCAAATGCAAGTGATACGAGAGGTGGAATCTGATAGAGGGCATAGAAGGCACAGAAGGGACTTAACTCCTAATAGCCACTGGTGGTGCTACGATTGTGCCCAGGAGTTCAAGCCTAGTTTGCTAAGGGTTGAAACTGGACTTCTAAAGTTAGTTAACTCCCTTGCCCCAGGAAGATGTGAACACTGTTGACATCAATTAATAATTCTGCAGGACACCAAACCAGACACTTGTGCATGCTCAGTTTCTCACCAATAGATCTGGCGCAGGCAATGAGTTGTTTCAGGACAGCTGAGGACTCCTTGGCTTCTACATCTCCTCGCTTCTGCAGTAAAGTCACCAGATCTTGCCAGGAGTGACCTCCCTTGTTTTCTTTCTCTGCTGACAGCAGTCTGCGCTGTGCCAGATCGTCATTACCCCCGGCCCCTTGAACCTCACTGGCCGAAACATTGGAGAAAACTCGGAGTGCGCCAGTAAGGCGCGGCAAGCTCACCATATCAGTCACAGCGAACTATCTAAAATGTTAGACAAAAGTATATTATAAATTATTATGTCTGTCATACACATGATACAGACCCTGAAACAATTATATCCAATATAGCCCATGCAAGTCTATAATAGTTGGCAAGTCTAGATTACTGCAGATTCAGGAAGAGAATCTCTGGGATCCTTTTTGTTATATCTCATCAGGATAATTTAACAACAGTTTTTTCTGTAAAATGTTTTCTTTTCAGAGTCTAGATATTAGCCTATATGAATGGTGGTACGACCAGTTTCTTATGATATTGCATACCAAGATTATAAGGGGAGGTCCGAAGTCGTACATGCCTCCCAACATCAACTACGACTAGAGTGAGTGAGTGAGTATGGTAATACAACACTTTTAGCAATATTCCTGCAATATCACGTCAGGTTAGACGTTTAATGCCACACTCGGCAATATTCCAGCTTTTTGACGGTGGTCTGTAAATAATCGAGTCTGGACCAGACAATCCAGTGATTAATATCATGAGCATCAATCCTCACGTGTCTCACACATTGTACCCATGTGGGGAATCGAACCTGGGCCTTTTGCATAGTGAGCAAACACTTTAACCACCAGGCTACCCAACTGCCCGGTCGGACATGGTTCTCTCAGCATTATACTTTTTTTGCAGCTTGTCAATAAAACTCCAAAAGTAATCGAAAGTTTGAAACCTATTCACAATCTATGAATGTTGGGCTGTTCTGATTGGTGAAGAGCTCTTCACATGAACATGAACCATGAACTTGACGTGAACTGTCAAGTCCTTTGATGACGTCACCTCTCTTTATATCGCGACAAGTAACGATCAGTATGGCTGTTCGAAAACAGTTTAAGCGACGACATATGTATGACAATGTCACCACTGTCGGCCCCCACATCACAGAAAATGTGTCAAACTCTTATATATTTTTGGCAATGGCAGTGCTTTAACAACTGAGGGGTATTCACGTAGTGTATAACCACCACCACCACCCCGGCAACACTAAATAATGACAGGTTTAATACATCGTCAACCAATCGTGGCCACCACTGTGGAACTGACATAAAATCACATGCTGTGGCATATGCGAAACCGAAATCAATGAGACAAAATAAATAATGAACATGCACAGCTCACACGCATTTTCATGAAAATCTCAACATAACGGAATTACCTGAGTAAGCATGTGTCTAAAGTGGGTGACGATTAGTTAATCCAATGCTTTAAGGATTGACAGAAGATAAGAGGTATAAAACTTTCTTTCGTCTCGTTTTGCAACAGATGCAAGAATTGGGAGTTATCCGCCCCTGCCTTCAGGTTCAATCAGTCAGCATAGATCGGTTTCCGACTCAACGGAAGGTTCTGAATGCCACGAGTTAGTTCCCTTGCATTACGGATCACACATCCCTCAAGTTTTCTCGTGGCGTAAATAAAGATAAAGACTGACATGTTTCCTGAAATATTAAGTGCATCAGACTAGATATCGAGTTGAGTGATTCCAATACGACAATCACATCAAACTATGTATGATATAATAAGACGATATGATACTCTAAACATAATATTTACAGACAACCCTTCGAAGAGTCATAGAGGGATTTTATTGTGCTTCATACAGTCCTCGGTTCTTATACAGCTATTGATGCAGCATTCACCCTGGTGATTCCGAGACCGCCCTGTGGTCACTGGTAAACTTTGATATGTAAAGAAACCAGTGAGTCTACACTGAGTGACGTCACGTCGGCAATATTTCAGCAATAATGTGTCGAAATCAAGATATACAGTATTAAACCCGTCATCAACGGACAGTAAAACATTAAGGTAAATATATCACGGTATTAAATTGATACAATTACAAAATTATGTCGTGTTTTATTTACCAGAACATTCAGTATCTTGGCATCCAGCACCGTTCAATAATGTTAAAATAGACTCCCACTTAGTCTTCAGAAACCCATGCTTACCTTAAAAGGCTACTATGCTTGTCGTAAGAGGCGACTTACGGGATCGGGTGGTCAGGCTCGCTGACTAGGTTGATGCATGTCATCTTATCCTAATTGTGTAGATCGATGCTCATGATATCAATCACTGGATTGTCTGTTCCAGAATCAATTATTTACAGACCGCCGTCATATAGCTGGAATATTGCCGAGTGCGGCGTTAAACAACCAACAAACAATAAGCCCCCTGAACTAGAGCATAGGAGACTAGAGAATCGGCCTCATCTGTTACATATTCAGATCTATACATAAAGATTCAGAGTTACACACATATATCAACAACACTGTTTGACAAGAGGGACGACTTCAACTTTCCTACAGTCAAGTTCCCCTTTGTGTCAAGCAAGACTCCAGCACCCCTTTAACTTTGACGCATCAGTGACAAAAATAAGGTCCGATGGAATTCCTTATTTTGACTTGTACCATACAATCTCGTTGTTTCTTATGTGAACAATGACATGCCTGTGTGGGTATTTATGGCGGGTGTCACTGGCGGTACTGGGTGTCACTGGCGTTGCTGGGTGTCACTGGCGTTGCTGGATATGCTCACGTTTTCAGGAACACCCGGTGTCATCATTATTTGATGGTGATTCAGAAACACGTGCTGATGATATAGTTAGTGTCGTACAGTTAATGAACACTGCTTTTAACAAAGATTTTCTTATGAATATGGACGGGTTTTATTGACGGGAACACCTTGGACCTGTGCCATATTTTATTGACAAGAACACCGAGGCCTAGCTGTGTCGTGTTATATTGACGGGAACACCTAGGGCCTGTGTCGTGTTATATTGACGGGAACACCTAGGGCCTGTGTCGTGTTATATTGACGGGAACACCTAGGGCCTGTGTCGTGTTATATTGACGGGAACACCTAGGGCCTGTGTCGTGTTATATTGACGGGAACACCTAGGGCCTGTGTCGTGTTATATTAACGGGGACACCTAGGGCCTGTGTCGTGTTTTATTGACGGACACATCTAGGGCCTGTGTCGTGTTATATTGACGGGAACACCTAGGGCCTGTGTCGTGTTATATTAACGGACACACCTAGGGCCTGTGTCGTGTTATATTGACAGACACACCTAGGGCCTGTGTCGTGTTCAATTGACGGGAACACCTAGGGCCTGTGTCGTGTTATATTGACGGACACACCTAGGGCTTGTGTCGTGTTATATTGACGGACACACCTAGGGCCTGTGTCGTGTTATATTGACGGGAACACCTAGGGCCAGTGTCGTGTTATATTGACGGACACACCTAGGACCTGTGTCGTGTTATATTGACGGGAACACCTAGGGCCTGTGTCGTGTTATATTGACGGACACACCTAGGGCCTGTGTCGTGTTATATTGACGGGAACACCTAGGGCCTGTGTCGTGTTATATTGACGGACACACCTAGGGCCTGTGTCGTGTTATATTGACGGGAACACCTAGGGCCTGTGTCGTGTTATATTGACGGACACACCTAGGGCCTGTGTCGTGTTATATTGACGGCAACACCTAGGGCCTGTGTCGTGTTATATTGACGGCAATACCTAGGGCCTGTGTCGTGTTATATTGACGGGGACACCTAGGGCCTGTGTCGTGTTATATTGACGGACACACCTAGGACCTGTGTCGTGTTATATTGACGGGGACACCTAGGGCCTGTGTCGTGTTATATTGACGGACACACCTAGGACCTGTGTCGTGTTATATTGACGGGAACACCTAGGGCCTGTGTCGTGTTATATTGACGGACACACCTAGGGCCTGTGTCGTGTTATATTGACCGGGACACCTGGGGCCTGTGTCGTGTTATATTAACGGGAACACCTAGGACCTGTGTCGTGTTTTATTGACGGGAACACCTAGGGCCTGTGTCGTGTTATATTGACGGCAACACCTAGGGCCTGTGTCGTGTTATATTGACGGCAATACCTAGGACCTGTGTCGTGTTATATTGACCGGGACACCTAGGGCCTGTGTCGTGTTATATTGACGGCAACACCTAGGGCCTGTGTCGTGTTATATTGACGGCAACACCTAGGGCCTGTGTCGTGTTATATTGACGGCAACACCTTAGGGCCTGTGTCGTGTTTTATTGACGGGAACACCTAGGACCTGTGTCGTGTTATATTGACGGGAACACCGAAACCCAGCTGGACCGTGTTCAATTGACGGGAACACCTAGGGCCTGTGTCGTGTTCAATTGACGGGAACACCTAGGGCCTGTGTCGTGTTATATTGACGGGAACACCTGGGGCCTGTGTCGTGTTCAATTGACGGAGACACCTAGGAACTGTGTCGTGTTTTATTGACGGGAACACCTAGGACCTGTGTCGTGTTTAATTGACGGGAACACCGAAACCCAGCTGGGTTGTGTTCAATTGACGGGAACACCTAGGACCTGTGTCGTGTTTTATTGACGGTGACACCTAGGACCTGTGTCGTGTTTAATTGACGGGAACACCGAAACCCACCTCGGCCGTGTTCAATTGACGGGAACACCTAGGGCCTGTGTCGTGTTATATTGACGGGAACACCGAAACCCACCTCGGCCGTGTTCAATTGACGGGAACACCTAGGGCCTGTGTCGTGTTATATTGACGGACACACCTAGGGCTTGTGTCGCGTTATATTGACGGGAACACCTAGGGCCTGTGTCGTGTTATATTGACGGACACCTAGGGCCTGTGTCGTGTTATATTGACGGGAACACCTAGGGCCTGTGTCGTGTTATATTGACGGGAACACCTAGGGCCTGTGTCGTGTTATATTGACGGACACACCTAGGGCCTGTGTCGTGTTCAATTGACGGGAACACCTAGGGCCTCTGTCGTGTTTTATTGACGGGAACGCCTAGGACCTGTGTCGTGTTATATTGACGGCAACACCTAGGGCCTGTGTCGTGTTTAATTGACGGGAACACCGAAACCCACCTCGGCCGTGTTCAATTGACGGGAACACCTAGGACCTGTGTCGTGTTTAATTGACGGGAACACCGAAACCCACCTCGGCCTTGTTCAATTGACGGGAACACCTAGGGCCTGTGTCGTGTTATATTGACGGACACACCTAGGGCCTGTGTCGTGTTATATTGACGGGGAAACCTAGGACCTGTGTCGTGTTATATTGACGGGAACACCTAGGGCCTCTGCGTGTTATATTGACGGGAACACCTAGGGCCTGTGTCGTGTTATACTGACGGGAACACCTAGGGCCTGTGTCGTGTTTAATTGACGGGAACACCGAAACCCAGCTGGGTCGTGTTCAATTGACGGGAACACCTAGGGCCTGTGTCGTGTTATATTGACGGGAACACCTAGGGCCTGTGTCGTGTTATATTGACGGGAACACCTAGGGCCTGTGTCGTGTTATATTGACGGGAACACCGAAACCCAGCTGGGTCGTGTTCAATTGACGGGAACACCTAGGACCTGTGTCGTGTTTAATTGACGGGAACACCGAAACCCAGCTGGGTCGTGTTCAATTGACAGACACACCTAGGGCCTGTGTCGTGTTATATTGACGGGAACACCTAGGGCTTGTGTCGTGTTATATTGACGGGAACACCTGGGGCCTGTGTCGTGTTATATTGACGGGAACACCTAGGACCTGTGTCGTGTTATATTGACGGGACCACCTAGGACCTGTGTCGTGTTATATTGACGGAAACACCTAGGACCTGTGTCGTGTTATATTGACGGGAACACCGAAACCCAGCTGGGTCGTGTTCAATTGACGGGAACACCTTGGACCTGTTTCGTGTTTAATTGACGGGAACACCGAAACCCAGCTGGGTCGTGTTCAATTGACGGACACACCTAGGGCCTGTGTCGTGTTATATTGACGGGAACACCTGGGGCCTATGTCGTGTCATATTGACGGGAACACCTAGGACCTGTGTCGTGTTTTTTTGACGGGAACACTTGGGGCCTGTGTCGTGTTATATTGACGGGAACACCTAGGACCTGTGTCGTGTTTTTTTGACGGGAACACCTGGGGCCTGTGTCGTGTTATATTGACGGGAACACCTAGGACCTGTGTCGTGTTATATTGACGGGAACACCTAGGGCCTGTGTCGTGTTATATTGACGGGAACACCTAGGACCTCGGTCGTGTTATATTGACGGGAACACCTAGGACCTGTGTCGTGTTATATTGACGGGAACACCTAGGACCTGTGTCGTGTTTTTTTTACGGGAACACCTAGGGCCTGTGTCGTGTTATATTGACGGGAACACCTAGGACCTCGGTCGTGTTATATTGACGGGAACACCTAGGACCTGTGTCGTGTTATATTGACGGGAAC